TGAGGAAAAAATGTCTCGATTCTAGCTCGTCTTACTATTTTTTCATAGTCTCATTTCTTTCATTCTGTACCGATTAATCTGTATTTTCTGCAAGGAAATGGGTGTATGGGTGTATTGATTGAGAGACAATATTTTATCTTGAGAGACTAAATATTTGTAAATAATGGTCGATATAAATAAATGAAAAATAAAGTACTGCCAGATATTGAAATCGCAAATTGAGTTTCAACATGTCAACATGTGATAAAAATAAAAATCTGCTATCTTCCTCTCACACAAAAATAATAAATTTTTAACTAATTTTAACAATTAACAGAAATTGAATATATAATTGGATATATAATTGAAATGTCGAAATAATCGGTTTTATAAATTTCAAAACGTATCTTTTTTAATTCCTGAAAAATTTCCATTTTTAAGCATGACTGGTCATCGCATTGAGATTTTAATTATGATTTTAATTCTATCTTGTAGTTGCGAACAGAAAATTCTATAAAGACAAAACGAAAACTTATGCAAAATTCTATTTTTATTAATTTTAATATATTTCAGGACTGCTGTAAAAAACTTTCAAGAATATTATCGAAAATTAATTTTAAAAAATTTAAATTAATTATTTTAAAAAAGAGAGGAAGCATATTCGCAAACTTACAACTTTTCTTTTCGCAAAGACTTTACATTTCCTTGGTAGCATAGATAGATAGCGATATAATCTCGATATACATATATTATTCACCGAGATAAAAATTTTCAGGAAATTTTCAGGAAACGATGTAATGTCACGAAAGATACTTGAATAATTAAACTCACAGACGGCCGGGAGTTTCGAGTCTACGACATTAATGTACTCCTTAGACCTTAGACATTAATGTAACTCTTAGATCTCGCAGACGACATCGGACACGCACAGATATCCATCGAGATACTTGGAGAGCTTAAAAGCTATCGTGAATTCGGCAACGTCCGTCGAAGAACTTCCCGTCTCGCTACTTATTTAAATTTTCATAATCCTAACTGCAGTAAAAATACTTTTTTATTAACGTCTCAACTTTAGAAGATATGTACCCAGTCTCTTGGGATCGATACCATCCTGGTACATATTTATAAGAGTAATGCTGAATTATTGCGGGATTCGTTTAAAAGTCAGTTACGAGCTAAGGTCTGCGCGGTGATGATATAAAAAAAGTTTAAAACGAAAACAGCTAAGAAAACTTTACATCAGGATTACGTCATAATTGATACAAAACAATTAATATTACGATATTGATTTAATAGCCTATAGGAATAAAGTCATATCTAAAATAATCTATAATTATCAATTATAAATATAAAACTATAAATATAATAATTTATAATATTTTTTATTTAATTATCCTGCCTTTTTTATTAACGTTATATTTTAATGCGTGTAATACTTTACCATCGGAATAAAATTATACTTTTACTTATAATTATTTGCTCAAAAAAAATTACTTTAGAAATTTAAATTATTAATCGCGTGATAAAAAGTAATTTATGATTAAAGGATACAAAGCCATTAAATAGCAATGATACTAAATATAATTTCTTCGATAGCGCTAACGCTAAATAAAACTCGCACGGACATTCGCTTCAAAGCGATTCGGTCTTTATTAAAAAAAAAAATCGTCGTAGTTAGGGAGGTCCCTCGATCCAACTTTAACGAACCCCTCGAAAGGTTCTCCGCATCTTTTCTGTCTCCCTTTTCTTTTTAATAGACTCACCGATGGAGAGCTACGCACGGCTACGCGATTAGGGCGACCCTTCTGTACGCCTCGGCGATCGCGCACGTACAGTAGTCCTGCTTAATCTCGCGGGGATAAATAAGAAATCAAGCGCGGAAGAGGAGAACAGGTCGCGAACAGGGGGATCGACCACGTGTCTCGGCTCTCCTCGTCCTGGACCGAAACGAGCGTCACGTTCCCGCGTCTCGACCATCCCGGGAATTCGGACCATTACCAGCCGGAGATAGCGCACGGACCGCGAAAAAGGACGCTGGATTTACGGACTACGACCGGGCAGATGGCTGCCCTTTTTTTTCCCCCTTATTCGCTCCGACTGGACGGCCTGCCGTGGACAGAAACTGAGCGGAAATACGCGTTTCCCTTGTTTTTCGTTGTCATTGTACATGTTGGATTATCGCTTGCAGGAACCATGTAAATGGGCTGAGCAAGTCCTATTAATGTGTAAGCTTGACTCGGGGACGCGCAACATAATAGAAAGTCATTCGGAATATATATTATTTTCGTTTTCATCACAACGGGGATGATTTTCTCCAAAAATGTTATAAAATAGTAATGGCAGATAATTTTCCATTCGCGTATTTAATTCAAGAAATTTTTTCATCAATCCATACTTTTCGCTTCTTACATAATTTACTGATATTTTTTTGAAAATAATTTCTGATAAAGCTACAATTAAGCTACTGTCAATTGACGATTCTCTTTAATCAAGAGTCCTTTGTATGGTGCAATAGTTTATTGTATCCGGAGTAACTCAGTAGTTTGGAATAAGGGTGCAAAGGATTTTATAATTAGATACAAAAGTGGAAAAGTTTAACTAACGTAATTTGTATATATGCGATAGATAATAAAGTACTGAGGTTTTACCAACATCTTATAGAATCCTTTAAATCCGCGCAAAACATTTTGAAGAGCACGGGCTTACATGATGGCGGCATTTAACGAGGTATATTTTTCGTGGTTACATATATGTGCACTATTGTCACAACACGTACACGGCGTAGCCGATTCTCTCCGCAACTTTTAAGCTCAAAAGCCGCAGTATACTTTTTTCAAGGAGGGTAAAAAGCGAAACTTCTGTACTTGGAGATCCTTATTGCATTATTGTCAACGAGCGAGCAGAATACATGGCTTACTACTTTTTGTCTAAAGTCTATGTCTTTCCACGTAACGTGGCTTGCATCAAATTCTTATGAAAAATTATGTAGGATCATTTGGATTATAATCTTTGAGATATCGTTCTCTGATTTGAAGAGGACTTTTTCTTTGAACAAATTCGATTAAATGCAATCTTTTGCGCAACTTGTAAAAATGTTCAACATATTAAATATCTATCTTCGGAATTACTCTTTACAGAACTTAAGTTAAATTTCTTTGAAAATAAAATACATTTTTAAATTAACTAAAGTAAATGTAAGTTCCGTTAGTCATTAATCATGTCTTTTGATAGATTCTTAATTTACTAAATTTTTATTTAAAAATTATATAATTTCATAATGCGCATACTTGGATTTTTATTTTAGATTTTTGCGGAGAGAGGCCTGTATTTTGTCAAGAATTATATTCTCTCAAACTTTGTTCTCTTTACGAAATATCCTACACAAGTAAATAGCCAAATAATGATAAAGAATTTATTACTAATTATGTTCGCATAAAATAACGGTGGTTTTTTTATTAGATTCTTCCTTCTTCTCTCCCCCTCGAGAACAGATGATCTTAATAGTAACAATATTCTTGAAGCGCCTCTTTCGCACACGACACTCAATGTTTCTTTTTCTTTCCTCTAATCCGAGTTATACCCATGACCATCTTTCTTCCCAATAGCACCGCCGGCTGTAATTTGTGGGGGACAAGAACTTCCCAGAGAGGCATTGAACAACTTTTATAATGTTTTTTGCGCGTCGTAAACTGGTGTGATACTTTACCTTCTTCTTACGTTACCGCTTTTCTGAAGATTATATGAGTGCACAAAAAGGTAAGCAAGGAATTATCTCTCCTGACGTAGTTTTCGACGTTGTGCGATGTTAGTGGGCAAATGTTTCTAAAAAAATTAATAAGATATTTTTTTTTAATCTCCGTTTCATAAAATAATAACAATATATATATATATATATATATATATATATATATATATATATATATAATATGTAAAAAAAACAAGCTAGAAAAAAGTTCCTTGTATAAAGCTTTCAGAAAATATAATTCTCTCTCTAAAATGCAGCTTTGCATGTGCTTGCTAAATTAATTTTGAAGTCTAAATTGCATTTTATTCCAACTTTTCTGCACATCCAAGCTATCAGGATACAAACCGAAAATGTCGGGACATTTTTCACCCCTGACTTGGTTTAAATAGAAAGGCGCTATTGATGATAGAAGCAACGCATCGTGACAGTCGCATTTTTTATCGACGAAACGACGAGCAAAAGAAGGTGGAAATCGATTAGCCCTAAGCGTGATCGCGCAACGTCCTTCCTCCAATCTCCGAATCGAATCAAGCGCCGTGCTTGAACGAACTTACGGCAAAGGCGATATAAAATAACGCCCGAAGGGGAAAAATGATCTCGTGCCGCAGCCGCGACGGCTAATTGCATTCGTTAAAGAGGCCCGCCCAGACCACGTTGGTGCTTTCTCCCAGGGTACGCACAACCTCACCCTTCCTCTCTCCCTCGCTCTCGTATCATTCGTCACCCTTGCTTCCTTCTTCCTCCATCTCCCGCGCAGACTACGCTTCCCACCGGTCTTTCCCTCCGCCGTTCGACCACTCGTCGCAATTTGCGCTACGCCGGGAGAACTTCCTGAAGAGATGTTGCGAAAGTTTCGGATCAAATGAGCGAAAAACGGGAGGAAAAGAGGGGGAAAAGCGGCAAGAGACCAGTGTGATGAATTATGGACATCATCGCGCGGGATCTCTTGATCTCTTTCCCTTGAAATCTTAAAGTGTACAGCTCGTTTTATTACCTCACGAGAAAAGTATATATTTTAATTATATTAAATATATAACGTGTATGTCGATATAATGCATTATTATTCCTTCAATATTAATAGTATATGAATAATATTAATATAAATAAAATTAATAATATATTAAAGAACAAATATAATATGTACATAATGCTTTCCGAAATCTCCTCTGTAATATCTCCTATGTAAGGGACCTCCGGCTTAATTCGCCAACGAAGGGGAACGAAGTGGTCGGATGGAGAGAATCGAGGGGTTCACCCAAGTATGGCACGTCGTGCGGGCGTTTTCGTTGCGTTTTATTGATCCGATACAGAGTCGTAAATGGTACAATCGGTAAATTCATCGGCGGTACAATCGATATAGTCATATGTATATATACACTTATGTACATATGGCGCCAATAGACGCGCGCAGCAGCAGCGAACGCGATGCCCGGCGCGGAATTACGCTTCCGGGTTATCGTTACATCGGAATATAACGAGAACATCGAGCGTCCTGTTTTCCTGACCTGTCGAGATACAAAGTCGTAAAAAAGGACCAGCGTAGACGCGAGTGCGAGGGAGAAAGGAAGGGAAAGGGGGACGGAATAAGGGTGGGTCTAAACAGAGAGGAGAGAGATGTCGATCAGGGGAGGTCTCTATCGAAGACTAGAAAAACGTATACGCGATTCCTATGTTATTGTACACTAAAGCCGCGGCAGCACTGTGCTTTATACGCCTTACCTGTCTATACGCTTTTAATGGAGCTTAACGCCTACAAAACGCGATTACACTTATACGTGTGTCGATATGGATAATGAATGATAGGACGATCGAGCGATCTCGGGGTGTCGATCGCGAGCAGGACGAGGAACCGTTCGATCAGCATGTAACCCGAGGAGCTCAGATTCCTCGTCCTGTATAGGATAATTATCTTACCGTGGTCGATTATCCTCCGTCTCTTCAGTCGTCGATCGCGCCTCGTCAGCGCTCATTCAAAGATTCAATGCTCGCGATTTCGCGCCCTCGTTAATCGTTTCAGCATCGAATAAGTTAAGAATCTGAATTCTCCGTCGATCCATTCGGCAGAAAAAGAAAATGCACCGTCTTCCTTGCATATTTTAGCATAAAAGAATGTTATTTTATATAAAAAGTATAGAAAAAATGGCATTTCCCCTCTTCGTAAGATTGAATTATCTCATTATAAAAATTTGTTGATAAAAATTGTCTATACCTTTTGCGTTATACGATGATTACGCGAGGCGAATGATGAGTTCCTCAATGGATTATCATGATGGTTCGGCGCCGATACGACGGTAGATGATGAAAGAATTAATTACGCGATCGATAAAATGTACGGCGGATGCCGTCCGGTGGGATCGATCGTCGAGTTTCTTTACTAGTTACTTGGTGCAAGCTGTAAAGAAGACTGCTCAACGTTCTTCTCGATGCCTTCTGTCAGCCCTCAAGATGCTCTTTGCGCCCTAGAGTCTCGACTTTACTCCCCGAAGTAAGAAGTTCCAAGAGAATCGTCGCGTTTCATCGAGTGAGCGAAACGATACTCACGTTTCTTCCTCCATCGACGAATTTCGCAAAGAGATTCCTCTCACTTATTCAGGGTGACTCTTCGCCTCTCTTGACGCGATCTCTCGAACCGACCGATTGATCGCTTCTACTCAAACACGGTCCTCGACGGAAGTTTGTCGGCGACGATACTTGGCTATTTGCTAATGGACGTTTCCTTGCTTCCAAGGGTCAACTCTTCCAGTTTCAGTTAAGTATTCGGCAATTTCTCCGATCGATACATACACTCGTAGATTGTAGTCAGTTGTACAGGACGAAACGTCAAAGAATTAGTTTAGACTGAAGCATCGAACTCTGAGAAGTGCGTTATGTCTTCGAGATAATCTTCCAGGATGAAGAAACGTATTCAGGAAATGTACGTAGAAAAAAAACATTTTCTTTGCTTCGCTTTATAGCGCGCGCTATATATAGAAAATGTGCTGTTCTTGAACGGAGGGGGCTTTATCTCGGTTGTCTTGACCTCCTGACGGGAAGTATTATTTATGGACTGCGTGACGTGTGCGCGTAAATTACTTCAGTCTCATTAAGTCTTGAGAATAAAGCGGCTTCTCACTCTTCGAGAGTGGCTCTATACTGTCTTGTATATTTTAAATGTCTGCATCTCTGATGAAAATATTATCTCGATGGTTTCCGGTTTAGTATTGATCGTGCAAACGAAACGGAAAATAATCCCGATTTCAGTTAGAGTTTCAGTTTCTCGAATAAGCCGGATCCAAAAAGATCCAGTAGTTTGCGTCTCCCTCGCTAAAGTTTCCGGACCTGTTGAATTGTCATTACTCGTGGATCCCGCTTATATTCAGACAAGTAACGCGAATTTTACTCGGATTAACACTCTCAGGGGCAATGCACTTCTGAATCGTACATAAAAATTCTTATTTCTAAATCGGATATGACATAAAATGTACTCGCTGTACTCGCAAAATACATTTTCGAATAGCTGCAAAATATTCGGAGGGAATATTACGTACTCTGAGTTCGCGTGAAAATCGAACCGCTTTCGTGTCGCCGCACAACGTGGCAAAAAAGTCAAAGTTCACGTCGATATCGACATTTTGGAGCGATTCCGGGCACGTCGAACCGAGCGAGATGATAGAAAACCGAGGCTACGATCATATTAGGCATTCTCAGAGCGATCTATTCATCAATTAACGTCGACCGGGCTCTCCTCGACAATCTTCTCCAGCAGCTGGCCCGACTCGAAGTCCCTGCACCTGTCACCGATGCAAACGGTCGAGCTTAAGGGCGAGCCGATCTCCTGCGACAGGCCTTTCTTGAGGACATTGAGATACCCCTAGCTTTGAACCATATCGCTAACATACTCCTCGTGAAGCGCGAGCAAATGACGCGGTACGTCCAGGGCGGTGTGAAGGGTTACGGTGACGCCGCGGTTCAGGCTTATCGCCGGATAAAAGACGCCGTAGAGATCGCGGAACGCGACGCCGCCCTGGGGCTGATCGTTGACGAAGAAGCGCAATGTGTGCGTGGTGTCCAGGTCGAGGAGGACGCCGACAGTCGAGCCTTGTTGAACGCCACCCTCGGTGCGCTGCGCGTGACCACCGCCATGCATGAACCACGACCGTTGCCGATCTATGTACATGCTCCAGCCCTTGTCGTCCTTACCTACAAACAGACGATTCGCAAAATTGCGCGAGCCAATCTTCAGGAAAGGAACAGGAGATTGAGTTGTATTATCATGTAAATGGCGGAATAAATGTTAGAAACAAAAATGGACCAGACGTGTGCGGATATTTTACAAGCAAAAATATTTATATAAATTAATTTCCTCTTAATTATATTATTATTAATTAATATATAAATATATTAATAATCAATATTCATTATGTATATTAATTAAAATTCTATGAAAAATTTATAGTTGATTTTACGAATTAAAAATAAATATATACAAATGGATATAAATATATATCATAAATATTTTTTCTTTAAAAACAAAGAGACTTCGCATAATCATTATCGAAATAATTATATTCCTCTTGTATAAGCAATAAAATATAATGCTTAGAAAATATTTAAATTTTTAAGATATAGCGTAAAAATAACAATTTCCTAAATACATTTTTACTTTTATTTTTATTTTTACTCGCTCGAAATAATTGAAACAGATAAAGCAAATCATTATTATTGATTTTACGCCGTTACTGTGGAGAATATTTTAGAAAAAAATCGCGAAAAACGTGAGAGATATTGTGGACTTTTTATTTCACACATTTCCGTAAAGTTTGTTAAGCTAAGAACGGTCTTTTCATCAACTCTAAGAGCGTTGATCCGGTTTCCACGTGTCCAAGGATTAAAGTATCTCTCTCTTTTACTTGCACAACCGCGCGCTTTCGGAATCGTCGTTTTCCTTCATCCAGAACGACATATAAGAGATAGAAGAAGAGAAAGATACGGAAAAAAATACACAAGGGAAAACACAGTACATATGTCTCTCGCCTCCGAATTTCCGAACAAATCAGGGATCTCCAGGATGTACCGGGTGGCGCATGAATATTTCATCGGCACCGGATAAACCGCACGAGCTTCGTCTCCTTTTCCAGGAAGAAAGACACCGAGAGAAAGACAGAAAGAGAAAGAGAGAACAACGTTGGACTTACCTAGCATCTGATCGCGCGAAACGTCGGCCCGGGCGATACCGAAGGCCGGATCGGTGTCACTGTGATAGCGATCGATAGTCAGCTCCCAGTAGTGGACCCCTCGCGAGAAGCCGACGCTCGAGAGGACCACGCGGTGCTCGTAGCCCTCGCAGGACGCGCTCATCGCGTCCTCCGATATGGACACCTCCTGCGGTATGCCAGCCGCGCCGGTGGCCCACGAAAACCACGCCACTGCGAAACCAGAGAGGAGCTCCGATTAATATTCCGCGGATACGGATCCGCAAGCGTGCTTAACGAACTGCACGCTTGGCGTTACACGAGCCTGGTATATCGAAGTGCCGGGTTATTGGGAATTCGACATCACCGCCGCACTCGATGTTAATAACGACGTGACGGGATTGTGGAATCTTAATGGGAGACGAGGAACGATATGGGGAGGAAAACCCGGATTTTCTACGCCGCTAAATAATTGAAGAATTTGATACGTCGAAGGTCGACGTGACGCGATTGTGAAATCTCAATGTGAGAAAGGGGAGACGTATCTTACATATTACGCAATATGTTAAATCATTTAAGACTTTTATATAGAATTTGTCAGACGCGCGAGGTTGTCGAGAATTAATATTTAATTCTCATCCAAAGCGAACGCTACAAGTTACTGACAATCTGGAAAAATATGAAAAATCAGATACTTCTCCTCTACGATTTCATTAAGTATTAATATTTCATTTAGAAAAATATATAATGAGCACGAAAATTGGTCCACTTTTATGAAAAAATAATAAAAATTCAATGCAATAATAATCAATTTGACATTAAAGGGCCGACAATACGAGCAAATTAATAAGTTAGAAATAAAAATAAATAAAACAATTAATTATAAGTTCGTTTAATTAAAAGATCACAAACGTTTCGACTTAACTTAGTCTTCTTCAGTATGATATTTAAACAAAAAACAATATATTAAATTGGAATAATTCCTATCGTCGAAACGTATAAATGCGATCCGTAGAAGTTTGAGGGCTTCTTATTATTCTTTATCTACGCTCTGATGATTGTTTCACATTTTGACTAGTTTATAATTGTATTTTGCGACCAATTACGGACCAATTTAATATATTGCTTTTTGTTTAAATATCATACTGAAGAAGACTAAGTTAAGTCAAAACGTTTGTGATCTTTTAATTAAACGAACTTATAATTAATTGTTTTTATTTCTAACTTATTAATTTGCTCGTATTGTCCTTTAATGTTAAGTTGATTATTATTGCATTGCAATACACGAGCCTTCTAATTGTCATTATATCTATTATATTAATAAAAATTCTAATTTGGATAATAAATGAATATTCAATATTCGTTATTAGTCCATTTGTCTCATTCAAAAAAATTGCAAGATATTAGCATCTAACTCTCTGCGATGCTAAAAACATTGAAATATTTATGTAATAGACTCAATAATAATAAAATCAAATATTTCCGAGAAACCGTGTCCAAAACATACGAAAATAAAAATGGGAGTCATTTATAATTGTCGCCCGCATTATTCCGCAAACGCCGCACGGCGGGCATTCTATCGCGGTCGTTTCTGTGCGTCCACCGTCTATCTCATCGATCACGCGATCGTGCCGCGGAAAAAAAAGAGAGGAACACGCACGGGTGGAAAATCGACGTCGCTTACGACCGTTCGTCTTCCACGCGACACCGGTTTTCCAGCCGAAGCCTCCGCGCATTTGGCCCAGGTAACCGTGAAAAGAAAAGAAAACGAAGAATCTCACCCTCCGCGGTCTGAAGGCCGATCAGTTCCGAGTATTCACCCTCGCCGGCGCTGTTAAAGGCTCGCACCCTGGCGTTATAGAGCGAGTTGAAGTGCAGCCCATCCACGGTGCAGATAGTCTCACGGCCGCAGTATACCTCCTGCGAATCAGATTTCAAACGTAAATTTGTAGCTTGCAACTGTATCCGAGTAATCTGTGCCGTTACTCGAGAGAAACAATGATATATTCGCGATATATTCGCGAGAATAATTAATTAGTTTGAAAATGATATTATTTAGTTTGATTTTGTATATTAATTAGGTTAAAAAAATAATATAATATTATTTAGTTTGATATATTAATTTTATGTATTAATTAGTTTGGAAAAAAAATAATATAAAATATATTAAGCATAATAAAAAAAGATATAATAAAATAAAATAAAAAATATTAAAAATAATAATAAAATAATAATAAAATAATAATAATAAAATAATAATAAAAATAATAATGTATAAAAAGAAAAGAGAGAAATAATTTATTTAGAAATATTCAAGATATGATATTTCAAGACTGATTTTTATACGTCGACTAATATTAAAGCTTGATCAAAATGTCCAACTCGATTCGACTAAAATGGCAAACAAACATTGCTGTCATAGATCAACGAGAATAAGTGGAGTTTATCTGTCATCCAAACTGTTCTATAAGAAAAATGTCAAGGTACTATCGATTGGTCGAGCCACATAAACAAATCGAGATGTGATTTATATTGAAATCAAAGTTTTGCGCGATAAGTTACTGAAATATATGATTCAATCTTTTTTGATAGTTTTTTTCCATCACTGTCAATATATACAATTTTCTTTAATCTTTTTTAAACATGCATCTAAAGAATATAATAATAAAGATACATAGAAACATTTATAAAAATAATAAAAATTAAATTAAAAAAATATATATATCTTTAACGTACAAGGTATAATTATAATACCTTGATACACGCAATAAACATAATAAATTTGGGATTTGAATGAAAATATATAAAGCGTGCTATAAAACGAATTTGCTATTACAAATTTTTCCTGAATCAGAAATAAAAATCGAGCTCTTGCATATCTTGCACATTTTCCTTAAATAAAATAACACATGAAATAAAGATGAAATTAATCCCGGAAATTAGTGTAAATCTACCGGTGAACTCGATCCTTATCCGTCAAAGGAGATTCTCGCCGCAAGCTTAAAGGACGATTCCGCAGGAACGTCGGAGAGACGGTGAACTAGGAGGAAACCGAAACCAGAGACCAGGAAACCCGAGGCGTTGTACTTGCGCGCGAACGAGCTCGATTTAAATATTAAAAGAAGGGGGATGAGGGGAGTTCGCGCGATTCCGATGGCCATCAGGAGGACTGGCGTCGAGTCGGGCAAGGAAGAAGGAAGAAGGAGGAGAGCGCCGACAACGAGGACGATTTATATTCGCGGTATCGCCCCGTTCGTTAACGAGCACTGGTATCCAACCCCACCGGGTGCATTATTAACAATGCATGAAAATTTAGACGCGCGATTTACAAGCCCGACCCGGAGCACGTTTGTGCAAACGGATATTCATATATATATATATGATACGGAGCAATGTACGTGCTATTTTCGTCGATTTTGCCGCGGATTTAGCATGTTACGTTCCTCCGCGCGGATCATTTCTAGAATGGAACCTCCGCGAAATGTGAGAAGGATTAGTATAATCTCGCATATAAGACTATTTCAACATTATCATATTATACATGTATAATTTAGTTTAACTGAAGCTATTACGAAGTTTACGTATGAAGTTTAAACTCGATATTATATTATGAAATAAAAAATAATCCTTCTCTTTATTAAGGGTACCGTATAATCTTTTTTAAATCCGCTATATCATTTTGACGTAGCGTAAATATTTATAGAAATTATGTCTAATGGTATTAAATTCAATGGTATTAAAGAAATGATATTTATAGGAATTAAATCTAATGGTATTAAATTCAATGGTATTAAAAAAATGATATTAAAAAACTGCGTATGAAAAAGATTAATCTTTATAATATATCAACTGACCTTTCCTTTTTGCTCAACTTTTTCCTTTCCCGATGCGATGGAAGACAAAACTCTGTAAAATTCTATGTCCATCGGTAGAGCCTCACATTAATATCGTGGATTATGTTGCAGTTCGACGGTTCGAACTACCGTCATTTGATAAAAACTTCTAATGAACGAAGCTATATCGTCGTCAGTAATTAATAATTGCCATCGCCCGAAAGGCTCGTTCATTTCTCACGTGTAAGCTCCGAATCTTGAAATTGCGGATTTCAATTAACGCCCTCAAATACCGAGTCCTTATCTACGAGTAGGAAAAATCCCCCAATTCATAAATCGGTTCTATATGATTGTAGATACTTGCTTAGACGCGCAAAAGAACTAAAAAGACTTTAATTGTTATAAATTACGTACAATTTTCTTATCATACAGACAATTAGAGATGTATCGCTGTGGATGCTGCGGGCGTAAAGGGTTAATGTAGCGCGTTAAAATGCCTTCATTCGCCGAACTAATTCTCAAATTTTTCAAACTTGGCTCATGAATTCGCTGCGCGAGACTGCCTTTTAATCCCCGACTTTTATGCCGCGACTCGAGCGCACTATTTAGGCTGAATTATTAGCCGTAATCGTTGCCACAGTTTTTTTGAGGGAGAAGGGGAGGTGCTCGCGTTTACGATCAATAAAACGCGAAAGACGGCATTTCGAGTTCGGCCGAGTAAAGCCCGATCCGAGAATAAATGCGACGGTTAGCCTCGCCATCCTCGCCGGAAATGCATCGAAAACAGATACAGGACAGAAGAGATCTTTTACTCGACAAAAATTTCCATAGAAGATATCAACTTTATGGGCGATCGGCATTGATTTTCATTTCGCAGCGCGCGAAACAAATTTGCATCGAAAAGGACTTTATAATCCTGTCGTCGTTTTTTTTCTTTGATTCACCGCGTTTTAGTGTCACGTTATATAGCCGATATTATTCTTCCGGGTAAATTGAAAGATAGCTTTTTATGCATTTGGGCTCTCTGCTTTTATTAAATGTCCGGACATCCGTGTAAAATACATTTATTTGATATTGCGTGTAATATAAATTATTGTGTTATAATAAAATTGACAACAATTGAATAAATTTCTTTCGCCAAAATACAAAGAAATCAATACATCAAATCAAATGTACAATGATTTCTTTTTCTAAAGAGAGAAAATGCTGCTATTTTTCAATTAATTTTGTACTTAAATAGATATTTTTAAAAAATAAAAAAAAATTATGGGGGATTAAAAGTTAGAATTTCTGCAAGTATAAAAAAATTGACATCCCTTTTTTCTCAGTTTACACAGTCACGTTTAGTTCAACATGTACAAGCAATCTTTTCGAATTTCTTGCCACGTACAGTCCCGTCTTTTTTTACTATTTTTGCAATACGAGTAACTTTCTTTCGTCAGAGCGCGAGGAAACTCCGTTCTAACTTTTCGAGAGTGAAACTAATGGATACTCTCGCAGCGTCATTTCCAATAAAATTAGTGTTTTATTACAACTTCAACAGTATTTTATAATAAATTCGATTTACATCACGAATTTCTATATTAAACGGACAAGGATCGATTCGTGATTCCATCTTGAAAATAAATTAAACCCAAAAAAATTAATATATAATCGATGAAAAATATTTATACCGATCGCACTATATGAGAAAGCTGATATGACACTTTGAAAATGTCCGCGGAAGAAATAACAAACGTCAAATATTATTTAATGCCAGCCGTCTTTCGTGCCGGAACAATTCTACGAAAAATATCGTGAGAACGTTGAAGTGTCCCATTGTTGGACAAAGCCGTATCGCCGTCATCGTCGACGGGATGACACGACCGAAGGAGAGCATTCAACAAAGAAAGAAACACCGGAGCCGGACGTCCGTCGCGTCGACAAAGAAAAGAAGAAAAAAAAAGAAGCGAACGGAAAGCGCGACGAAGTATCCGAAGAGTAAAGTGTCATCGAGGAATTCGAGGGAAATTCGCGGGGGCCGAGATCTCGAGAAACTCGCTCCGAGGGACTCGAGCCGAGCGTCTGGCCACCGATTCCATGACAAACGGAGTACAATTTCTCCGGGACACGGGGGTGTGTTTACTCACCCTGAACTCCCCGCCGCAGCCGTCGTCCAACTCCAAGAGGTATCCCTCGATGGCGGGACCTCTCTGTCCGGCGCAGCCTATAATTCCGTGCCCAGGTGGCGGCTGCCAGGCAACGGTGACGCTGTTGTTCTCGGCGCTACACTCTTCGGGGATCAGTAAAGGCGCTCCGGGTGCTGGAAATACGTGCGTCGAGACGGTTTAAGTAGCGCTTCGCGTTGCTGTAACTACGACAGTGTATATGTGTATACATGTGGAACACGTGTGCTTGATGTGTGTATGTATGTGGAAACATGGGAGTAAAGTAATATGCTGGATTTAATAATGTCGTTTAACTCCGAGATGAGGAAACTTGGGATTAATTCTAATATTGTAACATTCGCGATAACTCGGTGGAGATTTAATTGTCATATCAATTATTGAACGAACGAGGATAAACCGACTAAATAACAAATTTTCTGCTTAATTTAAAATCTTTTGTTCTCGAAATTGTAGAGAAAATACACCGCATTAGTAGTCGTGTGGTGGAAACACAGGTATGATAAATTTGTAAGAGGAATATGATCAAACTTATGAGCTAAAGTTGACTTGTGAGAATAAAGTTGTAAGCAGATTATAAACGTTGCACCTGTTTAAGAAAAGTTTGCAATCCCGGAATTTTCCACTTTGATAGAACTTTGTACACACTTAGCAAGTTTTCCAAATAAGTAGCTAAACATTCCGCATTTTCGTAACGGGAAAGGATTTAGGTAAAGCATTTAACTTTATAAATTTCGAATCGGCAAAGTTCGTTTGTGAGTCACTTTAAGACGGTAGCTTTACAAGTAAAAAGAAACTTATCATAAATAAATTGAAATTAAATGTAAATAATTAGAATGAAATAAATAAAAAGCTGATCTATAATATATATTCATATGTAAAATAGAAGAAATAATCATGTACCATCACGAAAACAAATGAAACTTTGAGAAACTCGACAATTTAACGCAATGAAATGATTGAAGAGGATAAGATCGCAAAAAGGCGATAAAATAAATATATTCACGTGGAGATCGTTAAACGGTTTTACTAATTCGATGATTTTAACGCTGCTGGCTAATATTTAAATATAGCATGACCTGAAATTGCTTGGCTCCAATCCGATTTTGCCCCAAAGCCAGATTGCCGGTGATGACCTTCGGCGGCAATAATTTCACAATTTAAACTGGTTCCGGGCTGCCGAATTTGCCGCGAGTTTCTCCTAACGACGAATGGAACTTGGTCGTTGCCGCGCGACCGCACGATTCCATTCGATGCCGACTGTCTAAGGTACAAGTCGAAGCCGTGCAAATTACTGCGCGGCTACTATCTAGATTTCTGTCCGACAGAAATGTATTGAACTACCGGTGCGGAGCACCATATCTCAATTTGTCAAATCTCGATATCTCGGGATATATATAGGTATACATTTCCCGAACACACTCGAATCGAATTGATTCTTCGTATCGCGAAATGATAAGTTAAAGTTAGATAATTAGTATAGCAAGTTAGTATGATAATTTGTTTCTTGTAAAGCTACGGGATATTAGGTGAAAAATATGCGTACTTTTATTTAAGGATGTTTTGTACAATCCCAGCAAAAAGTAGCTGAAATTAATATTAACAAATATATCCAATTTTGGTGTATTTTGAGTAAGAAATTGTGTGGAATATTATAATTTGATCTTAACTACAGTGCAGAGATATATTTTTTAATATTTATTGCGTTTTTACTGAAATATTCCGAATTTTGTTAATCGAATTAATTTTTGGCAGAGAATTTCGCCTTCTAACAGATACATAAATTATATTTAATATCCTTTTAACCAGTTAGTACTTGTATAATATTATTTGACCAAATATTTCCTCTGTATCTAAACCTTTGCAAATTTTAAACAAATTCTGAATATTATTTCCATGTGTTTTTGTCATTTGAATCGACGTGGTTATATGTTTCCCATAAGAACACATGTTAATTCGGTGCAAATTAAAATCCTTATAACTTGTGAACGCTTTAGTGAATCGATTTAAAAATTGTACTGAAGATTCTAAACATATGTAAGGATTCTGTACAATTTTCATTAAATTCTCAATATTTTGAAAATAGGTACAAAACATCCTTAATTTTTCGTTATGTGTATGTTATGAATGTATAAATGATACATATTCTAAGCATTAATCAAATGTAAAATTAAAAGTTGCAACAAGTGTCATTAATATTTTCCGCTTGTCAAGATTTCCAAATCAATATCAATTCATTAGGATTATTGATCAAAAAATAAGTTCAAAACTATACATTTTTCTCATTTTTCTCGAATATTATACGAATATCCACTTTTGGTGTATTTTGAGTATGAAAAATTGCGTGGAACATTATAATTTGATCTTAGCTACAGTGCAGAGATGTATTTTTTAATATTTATTGCGTTTTTACTGAAATATTCCGAATTTTGTTAGTCGAATTAACTTTTGGCAGAGAATTTCGCCTTCTGACAGATACATGAATTATATTTAATATCTTTTTAACCAGTTAGTACTTGTATAATATTATTTGACCAAATATTTCCTCTGTATCTAAACTTTTGCAAATTTTAAACAAACTGAATATTATTTCCATGTATTTTTGTCATTTGAATCGACGTGGTTATACATTTCCCATAAGAACACATGTTAATTCGGTGCAAATTAAAATTCTTATAACTTGTGAACGCTTTAGTGAATCGATTTAAAAATTGTACTGAAGATTCTAAACATATGTAAGGACATTCTGTACAATTTTCATTAAATTCTCGATATGAAAATAGGTACAAAACATCCTTAAAAAAATGACAATTTGTCCAAATATTTAAAATTTTCGATTAAAATGGAAAATTATATCAATGATACCTCTTTCTCTCTCTTCGTAAGGCTCTCTAGATAAATCCCCGCGTGTTGTCTTCATCATAAGAGAGTGAGTTCGAAACGATTGATGTTGGATCTAGCGATTCATTATGGACCGAATACGCGAATGCTAGCGAAATAGTCCGCTTTCAAGAGCGTCAACGCGATCTGTAGGAGGTCTCGTTGATGCTTCTACATGCAATTATCTGGCTTTCAGTGGAAACTCGGCGCGTCGCGACGCGGGTCGTCAACTCGTCGGTTAACTTGTGCGGCATGCTAATAAACCGAAAGCATTTCCTCTTGGTGCGCGCCGCCATCCGCATGAGGTTTCGCGCAAACTTATCCCGAAAACACTCTCGACGCGATGAGCTGTCGGCTCCCTGTCCGTTTCGGTCCTCGATTCCGGATGTGCCGGCAAGCATAATTCGATCGGGCGGTCGCGACCGTGGAGTAAACACGTCTTGGTCGAAAAGACCAAGGCTCAACAAACACGCCGCCGTCAGGATAAAAGGAATATGTCGCCAAACTTGTCTTTTTTTCCTGCCATTGTCGATTGATGCTGTCAAGTAAAAAAACTGCGACCACATCAGTTCTTTGATAGAATTCTGCTGAATAAGATCTCGTCTCTATCACTACATTTTTGAAGAATAATTTCGTATTCGTTCATTTTCGAGATCGATATTTACTCGAGGATAATCTATAAATAGATAGCATTCTGCTCAATCCAGATCTAGATTAGAAATTTGATAAAATCTGCTTTCTCTAATAGATGAAAAGACAGATAAACACGGAGTCGGAGATCGATAGATCGATTGGACTTGCGAAAGTGTATCTATATTTTGTGCAAAATAAAAAAAAACGGAATTTCAATGGCACATCTCATACACTCGCGCTAACGAAAAAATACTGCCTTTGATAATTCTATAGAATAAAAGCCAATGGAAGCTGCGAAATCATCTTTCCGATTTCAATCAAATTGTCGTGAATTCAATGATGTAGCAAATTTAATGCGCTCTTTCAATAGATATATACGCGATGCATGAAAAATCACATTTTTCTCTTCACAAATATAATCTTTCATAATGGGAAAATATAATTTCTCGCATGGGATTGAAAAATGTAATCTTTATATGGGAAACTGTCGCGATATGAATAAATTGCGATGAAGAGAGGAAAAGTTCAAAGTAAAAATTATATATACATGTCATGCAATACATCGATAAAAGATAATTGATTTAAGTATTGAATATTTTATCACAACTCGGCTTAAAAAGCTTATACGGTAAACGAATCAAAATGTTAAGTCTACTTATGTTTAAATTTTGCGAAATGTCACGTGAAATAGACAGGGAGTGAAGTTCGAGAAGCTCGTTGCGAACTTTATAAACTGTTAATTCTGTTTTATATAAACTAATAGACTAGACATAAAACACTGGGAATAGTGTTTTGTCTCCTGCAACGTCAAGGAAGACTCGACGTGTGTATGCATAATTAACTGGCTTCATGCTTGACAGCAAATCGTCATGGAGTTCAGCGTATCCTTGGAGAGAGTCGTTCTACTCTGCAGCTCTAAGGTCCCTGCGGTATCTGACGTTATGAAATTAGGCTAATGGCACGAGCGTTACATAACTATGTTCGGCGTTGAATCAACGGAGTCCTAATGCAAATTGAGGTCGTCTCTATCTCTATCTCTCTTTGTTTCTTTCTTGAAAAACAATTATTCTCTATTCCTACTCCTAATAACGACAATTAAGCTTACGGAAGAAAAACATGTCAATTTTCATTTAAATACACGGGACAAAAAGTTATTTAAAAACAATGTTCATCCGTTTGAACGCTTGACGATAATTCTGGCTCAGGATGTTTTGTATGTACAATCCCAGCAAAAAGTAGTTGAAATCAATATTGACAAATATATCCACTTTTGGTGTATTTTGAGTAAGAAATTGTGTGGAATATTATAATTTGATTTTAGCTACAGTGCAGAGATATATTTTTTAATATTGCGTTTTTACTGAAATATTCCGAATTTTGTTAATCGAAATGATTAACTTTTGGCAGAGAATTTCGCCTTGTGACAGATACATGGCTAACTTTATTGAATTATATTTAATATCCTTTTAACCAGTTAGTACTTGTATAATATTATTTGACCAAATATTTCCTCTGTATCTAAACTTGTGCAAATTTTAAACAAATTCTGAATATTATTTCCATGTGTTTTTGTCATTTGAATCGACGTGGTTATACGTTTCCCATAAGAACACATGTTAATTCG